CTTTCTCCCCCCTCCCCCCCCGCACAAGCCCCTTCCTCTCCCACCCCTTCCTCCTAGTTTTCCCCCCTCCCCTACCTTCCACTTTGCGGGGCCGGAGTCTACGCTCGGGCCCCGGACTCCAAACCTGGAGCTAGGCCGAGCAGTGCAATGTGGCTCCGAGCAGTTTTAAAGTCCTGGGTTGTGATATGATGTCATGTCCGGGTGTCTCCCCACTTACCTGGGAATGCTGCACATGGCAGCAGTCTGCACTGGCGAGGGGGAGCCGGGGTGTCTCCCCACTTACCTGGGAATGCTGCACATGGCAGCAGTGTGCACTGGCGAGGGGGAGCCGCACTGAAAGCTGCGCAGGGCAGGGACAGGGCGGGGCCGAAGGGGACACTCTGGGGCCGGGGTGGGAGGATGCGTGGGGGGGGCCGGCAGGTGGGGGCTGGGAACTGCTCCAGGCAGAGCCTGGGGAGAGACCCAGCTCCAAATATTGTTGGAGCAGGGCCCCCTGCTCTGAATATTGGTGGAGCATGGGCACCATGAGCGACGAGCCCATATAACTTGCTGCCCATTGCGCCCAGCACATTTCTGGGTTCAGGGCATAGGGCCCCTTTAGGCACAGGGCCCGATTCGGGGGAATCGGCCTAAGGGCGGCCCTGCCAGGGTGGCCGGCAATGTCAATGTGGGGCTTAGTGGTGCAGATGTTAGCCCGAGTGACTCCCCGGTGATTTGGGATGCTGATTTGTAAGTTGATAGAGGACCTACCCCAATAGCTTTAGAAAAAGTGTCTTCAGTAATTAGGACTGGATCAAGGGAAGAAATCGGCCGCAGCGGGGGTTTTTGACTGCTATCCATGATCTATGGCAGATCAATCGGAAGCAGGGGCAAACCATCAAAGCCCTGTCTGATGACATGCGGGCAGTGAATGAGCACAGTGCTCTGTTGTGAGAAGCGCTGAAGAGTACGCAGCAGGAGGGCCACATGCCTCCATTCAGTCACATACATTCGTTCCTGCCTTCAGGCACTCACACAGGCATATGGGTTGCAGAAGGAGGCAGGGCATGTAAATCCTGGAGGGTCTGTCTGCTCATCATGGCTGGCGAAGCTGGTCAGGAGGAGAGACACTGGCTGTAGAGAGGAGTTTCTCAAGAGGAGGGGAAGAAAGAGAGAGGTCTCACATGTGCTCGCTCTCCTAATATAGTATTTGAATGACTCCTGTGACTCATTCACCTCCTCATCAGGGAGCATGCCCAGACTTCCCTGTATGCAGCAAAAGTAGCGGTCTGTGATGACTCATCACCATGTGTCCAGTCTTAGCATTGCAACTTCAAACAAAACACACCCACACAAACACAGGGGAGAAGGCAGGTTAGAACAAATTACAAAAGGCTGAGAGTTACAAAAGTTACAAAGTTTCAGCATACAGGAAGTTTGAGAGTTACAAAGTTTTACAAAGATTACAGCAAGTTGCGAGGTTGGACAAAGATCACGAGTTGCAGTTTAAAAACCTTAGACCTTACAGTTTACTGTAGTTTCAGAAAAGGCATGCATAAAAATCAAGCTCAGGCAGAGGCTTTTTTATGCAACAGCAGACAGCACTCCCTGTGCTTGCTCCCCTACCCCACTTACCTTCTCAATGGCGATATGAGGCTGTTTGACATCAATGTAGAGTAGGTTGCCCAGGAAGGGCAGGATCAAAGGTCCCGGAGGGAAATTCCTCGGTCGTCTCCTTTTCATGAAAACAGAAAGCAGCAGGATCAGGCCTGAAAGGGCACAATCTGCCAGAGCCACAGCAACCCAGGGGCAGCCTGCAGCGGCATCTTCCCCGGCCAGCTGTGCAACTGCAGCTGAAAGAGGGAAGTGTGACAGGGGCAGAGAGAAACCCGGTTGCAGCGGGCACAGGCCCACCCTCCTGCTGCTGGTGCCAAAGGAGGACAAAGTTTACAAGCCAGATCAAAACAACCTCAGACAGGTACAGAAGAGCTTCCCATGCCAGAATCTTAACCCAGAAACTCTGATAGGCCCCCTCCTCCCACCACCACCACCTTTGTGGTTCCTTAAACTCATCAGCAAATATGTGTCAGATTTTTTCTCCTTTGTTCTCATTTTCACCCAGCTGTTTTTAAAAAATCATTTACAGATTCTCTCCTCCCCCATTCTCTATTGTGAAAAATATCTAGTAGAACCAGAGGCTGTGTCCAGACTCAGGGTTTTTTTTGAAAAAAGTAGCCTTTTTTCGAAAAAACTTCATCTGCGTCTAGACTGCAGCCGCGTTCTTTCGAAATTAAATCGAAAGAACGCGGCTTTTCTTTCGATGGCGGTAAACCTCATTTCACGAGGAAGAACGCCTTTTTTCGAAAGTGCTCTTTCGAAAAAAGGCGTTCTTGAATGCCAACAGGGCTTTTTAGGAAGAGAGCATCCAGACTCACTCGCTGCTTTCTTTCGAAAAAGCGGCTTGCTTTTTCGAAAGTACTGCTTGCAGTCTAGACGCTCTTTTTCAAAAGAGGCTTTTTCAAAAGATACTTTCGAAAAAGCCTCTTTCAAAAGAGGCTTGCAGTCTAGACATAGCCAGATTGTCTACAAATCTACTAGTCAGGAATGCAAAAGATCTTCTTACAGTGTGTATTAAATGTTTTGAAAACACCATTTTTGTTTAGTGCCTTGGTGCCTTCTATTAGGATCCTGATGCTTTGTTTTCTGAGCAATCATCTCTCATGACATGGTTTTTCATTTTTTGACTCCCATTCCCAGGGTATTAGAGTACTGTACAATTATACATTTACTGGCGGTTTCATTTAAGAATTTAGGCACCAGTCCTGCACTCGGATCAAAGAGGGGGCACAGTGATTATAGTAGATTATTGTAATTGAACATATATATTGTGGTAGTGCCAAGAGGCCCAGCAGATGGTGGCTTGTATGCACTACATGCTATACAAACATGCAATAAATGACAGTTCCTGCCTCCAAAGAGCTTGCAGTAAAAGGCTGCAGTACAGGAAATGGTGCTTAAGAACATGCTTAACTTTAAGTATGTGTAACCCCCTTTTCCCTCCCTGGGTTACTTGGGAGCTCGTCAAACTCATAGGTGTGCCTGGGCACCTGATGTTTTTAACATAAAAGGAGATCCTGAGTACTCCAGTGGAGATGTTGGTTAGTTGGGGATTCCCTATCCACCCCCTTGCTGCAGTCCCTTGCTCATAATGGAATCTTCAATGGCAGTGTGTCCACCTAGCTGGCCCTGTACACACTTCATGGTGTGCCTTGGGAGCCTCCAGAAATAAACTTATTCTAGTAATAATCTGGATCTAACTCCAAGACACCAATTATAAATAATATCTAATTGATTAAATTAGAATTAACACACCTTTACTTACCAACTTAAAGAAACAGGGTTTAACAGATTAAAAGTGAATAAAATCAATTAGCAAAGTACACAGAAAGATAGGAAACTTATCTCTCTGGCATTTGCACTGCCACCATTTATCCCACCCCAGAGTGTGCACTCCTCTGGATTCAGAGTCCCTGACACTTGCTTGTGTGGGTGCGCTCGAAGCCCTGTGCAGCTTATGTGTGTCAGTCCAGTCAGGAAGCCAACTGCACAATCCCTCTGCCACTGGAACAGGCCCTTTTCAGCCACAGGCACAGCCAGAGTCTCACCCTTCCAGAGCAATCTCCAACAGCCCCTGAAGCAGCCTGCTAGATCCAAACCCCAGCAGCTCTCAGCAGCAGGCTCTTGGTTCCAGCAGCAGCTCCTGGACTGGAAAAAGGCTCTAAATTACCAGTCTGGCTCCTATCTTCAAAAATGGAGCTCACCAACCCTCTGCCTGCATAGCCTGGAAGAGCCACTATGTTTCTTCCTTTTTCCCAAGGGCTCATGGGAGTTGTAGTCTCTAAGGCTAGATTGCAGCACAAAGGATCCTCCCAGTAAAAGTCCGAGACATCTTTATTAAGGGGACTACACACATGTTTACGTCCCACTGAAATCAGTTAAGTATGTGCTTAAAGCTAGCCAAGTGTGTAACTCCTTTCCTGAAGCAAGAGTCTAGAACAGGGGTGAGCAATAATTTTTGAAGGGGGGGGGCACTTAGGGTGGCCTTTCTGAAGTGGCCTCAAGCACCCCTAGAAGGGGTGGGGCCTTTAAACAGTATAAGCTGAAAGAGCTCATGCCACTCCAGCGGCTCCCAGGAAACGTGTTAGCTTCTATTTGAAGGCTCACACTTTTCCCACGGCTGCTAAGGCATGAGACCTTTAAGTAGCAGGAGTTGAAAGGGCTCGCAGCTTCCAGCTCCTGCTCTTTAAAGGGCCCGCGCCTTCCCCATGGCTGCTAATCCGTTGCCTGGCACCTGCAAGGAAGGCACACACCCTTTAAATAGCAGGAGGTGAAAGGGTTCGCATCTCCTTGGTGGCGCCCATGCACATTAGAGGACAGGGTTGGGAGCTGCCATGGGCCAGATGAAAGTGCTAGGTGAGCTGGATCCGGCCCACTGACAGTCTCTTGCCTGGCCCTAGTGTAGAAACTCAAATAAACTGTGATTTAATTTCCAGAAAAGTTGCAATAGTGTTTTTTGGTAATGCTCACCCTGTATTGTGAGTTCATATTCGCTCTAGTCCACCACCTGGCATACACAGCATTTTGCTTCCTTTAAACACTCTCTCTCTCTTCCCCCCCTCCCCCCCTCTTTCTGTCTCTCTGTTGTAAATTGTTTCATAAAAATGTATACATTTGTAAAAAGCAGACACAGGGTAAGGTGTGCAAAGAGGGGACAAGCTGGCTTCTGTTTAAGTGCAGTTCTGAGTTGCACATTCACTTTTGGAACACTAGTACCTGTGTGTGCAATAAAGTATCATTACACACACAGGTTGGACAGATAGATGGGAATGTGTCAATTGCACCACTTCTGACTGTGCATATACCACCTTTGGAGAAATTTAGCACATTGTGGGTGCCACTGTTAGTAAAGAGCCATGAGTGGATCCTTTGTTTTTAAAGGGATTACTCATGTGACAAACTAATCAAGAAAGTCACTGAGGAGTTAAAATATTTGACCCTAAATGTTTGGATTTTTTTAACTATTTATCAACTGTTTTTTGAAAGACAAAGTTAAATCAAGTGTTCTTTGCTATGGAATTAAATGAGAAAGCTAAGAAAGACTTTTATTTCCCTGGTATCAGGGCACAGACGGTAGGCCTGATCTAGAACTCATGCACTGAAGCCTTTTTAAGGATCAGACGGTAACATTTAAAAACTTTTTTCGTCTTTTTGTAAATGGTTTTTTGTCTCATTTTGCCTCTGAGCGAGGGAAGGACGGAAAAGTAAGAGTAATTGGCTGGGTCTGTATTTGAAAAAAAACAGATTTTGCATTATAGGCAATGTTGTGCCTCAAACAAATTGTGTGCATCCCATCATAAATAAGGTTACTATCTGGATAGTTTTAAATTGTCCTGTCACGTTTCTATGGTGCCTTTTTAAGTAAAAGATTTAATCTGCCATTTGTTTTGTCATGCTTTAGTTCTCTACAATGCATGCCCTTGTAGTCTTTGCTGTGTTAGGATAAGTTTAAGACAAATGATAAAAATCACCTAACAATATTCATACATTTGCATGTGTGTACACACGCGTGTGTAAACTATTTCTCTAAAACATGGATATGGTCAGCACGAGGATGTTTTGTATTGAGGGAAACCAGGGAGTTGGCCTGTGGCTGATTTTTCTGTGTCTTGCAGGTGGTAATTCTAGTCACAGGTCACAACTGGATGCACATAAAATTGAGTGAATGCCAGGTGTATCCCGTAAAACTTCTGGAACATCCCAATCCTTTACATTTTCTCTTTAGAAAATTTATGAGATTCTAACCACAAAGAGTAAATTAAAAATGAATTAGGGTTAAAGTGATCAATTAAAAAGTCTAGCTCATTCAGTACACCAAATCACCATCTGTGAGTAATAGATGCCATTATAATACATGCGGAGGACTCTCCCTTGTGGTATAAATATGCAATTGCACAATCATTGCTTAGCAAAACCGGCCAGATTATGGTATTTCTTGAGATCTGTATTGAAATTCAGTGGAAATGTTCTTTATTTACTCTGTTATTTTTCCTCTTAATCAGTGGATGTTTCATGCCAAAAGAAAATGTCACTTTTGAAAAGTAGAAAACCCTAATGAAAAATCTGTGCTGTAGCTATATTCTGAATCTACTAGCAAACAAAACGCAGCCCATTTAACTTATCAATAGTTTGGGGATTGGACAAAAGAATGAGCAAAACCTCTAAACATTGTGATTCCAGAGTAAATGAAGGTAGGTTTCTAAATAATTAATAGTCTTTAACAATAGGACAAAGAACTGAGACCCTTGAAAGAGAGAAACCTCTATAGACACAAGGACCTTCACACAAGAGAAATCTGTAAAGATGTTACCTGGTTACTTATTCACCTCCTTACAAGTTGTTTACAGCAGAGAAAATATCTTCTCAATGGGTCAGAATTGCTTCTGGCATAAGGAGTCAGAGGAGGGTAGACGAGGTGGTCATATGGAGGCAGTAGTAAAGGAGACAGTGTGATCTACTGGATATATCATTGGACTAGGCCTCAGGAAACATTGACTTTAGTTTTGGTTTTCCTTGAGCTTACTGGAAGCAAGTCACTTCCCCACTATGTTCCTCCTTTTCCCCATCTGTAAAATGGGAATAATGGCATTAACCTCATTTGGGAAGGGCTATGGGGTCTACTAATAAAAAGCACTTTATAAAGGTTT